ACAAAAATGCACTTACAAATGCATAAACATATTTCCACTCCTCAGCGTCGTTGGTGCTGGGAGTGTATTTTTATATGCCGGTCTGGTTAAAACAGAGTGAGGAGGGAAGCTGCATGCAGCCAACGGTGATTATAGTTATTATAGGCCTAACACAGACACACACACACACACACACACACACACACACACACACACACATTTGAGCCACTTGAGGCAGAAGAGTGACAGAGCTCTTAAAGACAATTAGGACAGATGAGAGGAGACAAAGAGTCACACTCTACTAAGAGCAGCTGTTTAGATATTACGAGTTAGACAAGCAAAAGTAACATCAGAAATTGAATTGACATTAGACTATAGAGGCTCATACTTTGGAAACAATTCCCATTTTAGATGTTCACTGACGGCTACATGTTTAGTCTATAGTCAGTGTATAACCTTTGAAATTTTTACTTGAACCGGACCAGTGGCCAGTTGAGCTCAACTCTTTTAGCCCCCTTTTGAGCCCCAAAAGACAAAACTTTATGAACAGATAGTATATCAGATCGGCTAGAATCACCAGTTATGACCTTATGACACATCAGGTTATTTCAGGCTGGACACGCGTCATGCTTCAAGAGAGGTTCTCTTTGTGGCAAGTATGTACAGGAGAATCAATTACAGTGAACAAAAACCTTTCAATGTCCATATGGCCATGTGAATACTGTTTTAAGATGTACGAAGATATCCTTTAAGCTGTTTGTCATATGACTCTTTTTTAGCTCTTGTTTAAAGAGGTGGTATTATGCTCATTTTCAGGTTCAAAATCTTAATTAGGGGTTGTACCAGAACAGGTTTACATGGTTTAATTTTCAAAAAACACCATATTTTTCTCATACTGCACATTGCTACAGCTCCTCTTTTCACCCTATGTGTTGTACGCTCCGCTCTTGAGCTACAGAGTGATGCATCTTACTTGTACAAAATCTTTGTTGGGAGTTGCACATGCGTAGTATGGTAAGTAGGTAAGGACTACTAGCCAATCAGAAGCAGAGAAGGGCGGGTCATAAGAAACAAGGTAGTGTGATCCAAATCAAAGCCGCTTCAGACTGCGACTGTAACCTAGCAGATGGTATAAGTTACTCACAAGTCCACAACCACACAACATCGTTGTTCCACATCTTACCATAAACCACTACAAAAATCAGCATATTTCAAATCAATTTTACATAAAAATTGGCCAAACAATTTGAACGTTTGCTCAGTAGCTTTCACACCGGGTGTAACATTAGCATTATAGTTATAACTTTAGCTGTGTTAGCCAACGTTTACAACAACTCCGCACTTCAACAGTCTGTGAAGTTACATTGCCGTGTTTATTTTAAATATAATTCACAACCAATAAAGCATACTTACAGGTTGTGAATGTGAATTTCCAACCCGGTCTCACTCCCAAGTCGTCACATATGGACGCTTGGTCAGGAGCCATAATCGTCAGTTTGTGACGCACTAGGGATCCCTTTGACGTCATAGTTCGACGTGTTGAGGGAAGCCCTGTTGTGTCAGTTTTTGATGTTAAAGGCAAGTATGATATTTAAGAGAAAAGACGAAGTAAGGAGGTGATTGGGGTGGATAGAGGGCCAGAACCCGGACCTTGAAGCAGGAGAACAGGGTTTGTGTCCAGTGCGAAACAAAACATTAAATGTTTTTATTTAGGCGAGTGAGGTAAATCGACATTAACATTAGTTAACTTAAGTCTTAACTGACATACATAGCTATTTTAACCCAAACCATGATCTTTTCCTAACCTTAACCAAGTAGTTTTGTTGCCTAAACCCAACCAAGTACTTTCTGTGCGTAAACCTAACGAAACTGCAACGTTTCACGACTTTAATTATGCGCGTTTCAACATGGCAATGTATCGAAACGTTACGTTTTATCTTGAAAGTGTAACCGGATATTGCATATTTATTGTTGCTAAGCGTTGCTAACTTGACTGTGGATCCCTAAACGTCAATAATTGATGCAAAAGGGCTACCCAAGTCTTTAAAAAGCGACGACAAAGGGCCTTGACCATGCGTCAGACATTTGATGAGTAGGGAGTGAGACTGTGTTGGAATTTCCAGGCCCAAATATTGCATCGTCTTTAGGACTAAACGTTGAACTGTTGCCGGTGTTCTGACAATCTATGCTGCCTTGCCGAAAAATGCTACCATAGCGCAAATTGATAGACTCGACTCTACTCGGCTCTGCTCCGTTTTCCATTGCAGGTAGTACCCAGAGATAGTACGTAGCTTGTCGTCATAGCGAGGCCACACACAACTGCCATGACGTAATGTTCAATGCGACACACACACCAGCAATCCACGCAGCTTTCTCTTTTTTAAGTTAAAACGTTTCAACATTCCTCAGAATGTAAAGACAGATAAGCGGTATGAAAACCTTCCAGCTGTGTTTTCCTCTGCCGTTGTTGCTGCAGCGGTCTGTGTGACGGCGGGAGCAGAGGGCTCTGTGAGCGGGCAGCTGGCCGGCCTCACACGTTCCTCACGTGGGTTGACACAGGCATCCCTCGAAGCCACTTGCAGAGCTCCTCAACTCCGAAAATATTCAAGCACGTTTTTGTTCCGCCAAACTGTCAATATTCGAAATCTACACAGCTGATTTCTCACCTCAAAACTTCTCAGAAGTGGATTTAGTGATGAAATTACATGCGAAAACTGTAAAATATAAAACCTTCTGTTGCTGGCCTCTGTCTGGCGCATGCAATGATAATGCAGTGAATAGTGACGATTCTCTCTGACCAATCAGCAGGCTGTCGTGTTTTCACGTTACATTTTAGTATCCCTCAGCTCGCTTGGAACCTCGACGGAGGTGAGGTGATACAAAAAAAGTACCTGGAATCAGATACAGGTACAACATTTCTAAAATGGAAAACCAAACAAAGGCGAGTCAAGCCAAAGGGCCTCCGCTCAAACTAGCTTGGTTTGAGGGCGTGCCTGACCCCGCTAGCCGCTTGGCAAGCTTCATGACGTGTTTTCATTGTGACGTCACAAATAAAGCAAGTGAAGGGCTGAAATACAAACGAGCTGTTTTCAAGCTGTTCAGAGCAGAGCTTTCTGTGGGAGATGGGAACTCCCTTTGGGCTGGACTTTGGGCTTTTTCACTTTGCAAACTTGTTACATGCACAAAAAAGAGATAACTCAATAAAGGAGAGGGAAAAAGCCAAAAAGCTATGATCATATCTGCACCAGCTCAATGTCTTGTAGTCGTGTTGCTTGTTTCACAAATGGGAGTCTTGCTGCTTGTTACTGGCATTTCAGCTCACAATTACTCTATTACTTTACTCATAAATATTCAGTAATTACAAAACTCCACTCCCTGAATAGGACACCTTCATTCTCTCCTGCCCTGAAATCCCTCATTAGGATGAGAAATTTTATTTTATAGAGACTTGTTTCCCCTATAGCCATATACAGGCCTATTAGCTAAATATAGCATTTGCCTAATTGCTCCAGCATGACATTTTTTTTGTTAATGAGATTCCTTGTAAAGAAACAAATAGAGGTCACAACAAGGAAAAAGAAACTGGTCGTAATAGACTGGCTGGTAGACTGGGTAGACTCCAACATCAAGTCCTCATACCTAAATGACTAAATAGGTCACTAGACAGCGCCTTATAAATAACAAACTCATATGAGTGTTTTCGGATCTGCCAATTGTGTGGTTGAGGTATTGTGTTTACACAAGCTCTTAGGCTCAGATAAAGGAAATATCAACTTCATGGTTAAAAAACCATACTTGCTATATGACAATGTCACCATAGGACAATAAGACCCATATGATAAAATAGTCTATATTAATTTAGATTATCTGCTATCCTCACAAGTTCAAAGTGTAAGTTTTAGTGGCATCTAGTGCTGACGGTTGCGAATTGCAACCAACTGGTCACTCACCGCTCATCCCTCCCTTTCCAAGCACGTAGGAGAAGCTATGTTAGCTCTTGTGCTACATAATACGTGTGGTCCTCCATTTGTCCAAATTTCACTTCTCTTCGTCTTCTTCTTCTTCCTCTTCTTCTTCTTCTTCTGTATTCAACGTAGTGACGAAACGCGCTCTGTAGAGTAGTTTTTCAATTTGGGCTACTGTAGAAACATGGCAACTTCCATGTAAGGGAATCGGCAGTGGATGTAGATTGAAATGGCTCATTCTAAGTTAATAAAACTATAACGGTTCATTATGTAAGGTCTTTATACACTACTAAAAACATGGTTATGTATATTATATTGCATTTCTGTCAATATATCCTAAATATCCTTTGAGTGTGTTTATAGCTATTTGAAGCTATCCAAAATTTTACAAGGGCATGTTTTTTCAATGATTATACTGCTTCATTTATTTCATAGGTGATCAAAGATTACTTTTTTTAAATCCTACAGTAGCCTATTTGCAGTTGTTTTGTGAAGGCTCCAAATTAGCTATACAGAGTCAGTGGGCCTCATGCGAGTACAACAAACAGATCTGAGCTTAAGTGACATGTACAAGTAATCTAAGAGAATTTGTGGAATCCCTCATTTTTCTTGTACTTAGAGGGGCGGCTGTGGCTCAGGAGGTAGAGCGGGTTGGCCGTTAATTGGAAGGTCGGCGGTTCAATCCCGGCTCCCCCTGGTTGCGTGTCGAAGTGTCCTTGGGCAAGATACTGAACCCCAAATTGCCCCTGGCGGCTGTTCCGCCAGCGTATGAATGTGTGTGAATGTTAGTTTCCGTTTGAGCACTTAGGCTCAGTATATGAATGTGTGTGACTGGTGAAAAGCGCTTTGAGTGGTCGAAAAAACTAGAAAGGCGCTATACAAGTACGGAGCATTTGCATTTAGACTTTTCTCTGACTTAGAGAACTCATGAAAGCAAACCTCAGAAAAAAGTAAGAGAGGTGTATGATAAGAGTATAACAATGCTTAACAACCCCTTACTCATTTCAATAGCACTCAATCGCCACAAAATGAAAACAAAGAAAAAAAGAAACTTACAGAATCCTGAGGTTCTTGATGCCGGAGAAGTCCACTTTAGTGATTCTGGTGATGTTGTTTCTGTTCAAGTCCCTACAGAGAGAAACACGGGTTACAAAACTGATTTATCAAATCTGATCATTAATACAAGAGAGTTAAATTAACAGTATGAACTTACAGTGCATCTCGAAAGCAAACAACTTCATTATAATATGCTAAAAAGCAAATGAACATCAGAAAGGATTCACCAAGTGCATTTGTGTCTCTGTGTGTTTTCTCACTCAGTCGATTTAATGAACATGGCAGAGCGTGAGAATGCCCCACAGAAGAGCCACACACATACAAATATACAAACAAACAGAAACCAAAACTCACAAACACTCCTACCGTACAGGCACCAGGGGAATTATGCACACACACTCACACGTCCGCACACACTTACAGCTCCTGCTGCTACGAATTATTGAGAAGCAAATTTTTCAGAAAAAAAAAAAAAAAGCGGTATGAAATTATTTTCTCTTTCCATCATCAGAGTTTAAAAGCTTATTGTGTTTCCTGGCTGTCATTCAATCTGTTTTAACTATGGGTGGTACACTGCAATATCAACTGACTTCCTAAGTGTGTGTGTATAGACTGGTTCCCTTTATACGAGTATGCTGTTTATTGAAACGCTGTCGCACTGAAGGAATTAGGGCAAGGAAAAAAAACACACACACACACACACGAGAGCACAAACAAACATCACACACACAATTTTCTCTTATTTCACACACACGACTCTCTTCCCCAAGCTCTGTTAGCTTTCAATCGCCCTCTCTCGCTCTGAGATGCACACACTCACACATGCACATAAACAGAGTCTGGTTTTACCAAGATGGCTGTCTTGTGTTTTTCATAATGCACCTAAACATTTATAAATCTGATTTAAGACCATATTAGGTTTCAAAAGGCTTCCCCAAACTGCCATGTCAAGGACCACTAATAAGAGCCATACCCCGGACTGAGACAGGGAGGGCTTGTGTGGGCAAAGGGTGCACTTCCCAAAGCCCAAAATGGGGTCCAAGGTCCAGCAGAGGTTCTTAAAAGGGCTCTAGCGTAATGAATAGTTTCAATATCTGATACAATGGGAGGTCACATAAAAAGACTCCCACCCACTACAGTGCAGACAGTGCTCTAAATCATAAGAGTTGGTGGGGACCAAAACAGAGCTAAAAGGAGTTTTAAAATTAGACTTACTACTGCCAGAGAGCCAAAGGAAATCTAACGTTACCCTGTGTATGCTGATTGTATAAATTGGAACGTGTTTGTTAACACATTCGCCATAACAACTTTATATGGTGATGAATGTCATCGTTGTGTTTCCACTTTTTGCGTTGCCCCCAGGTGATCAAATAATTATTTAGAAAATGATTTAGTATGGGTTTAAGAAGAAGCCGTTTTATTTGCCCTAATATATACTCATACAGCTAACCCCCTTCTTTTTACTGTTTTCACAAAGTCAAACAATTTGTTAGGGTGCATTTGAGACTTGAGGATTAAGGTGCTGACTGTGTAACCCCAGAGTCCCTGGTTCAGGTCCAGTCGGGAAGCTTTATTGCATGTCACCCCCACCCCCTCTTTCCTGTCGACTACCTAGTAAAGCATAAAATGCCAAAATATTTTTTTTTAGGTTTTGCAAACTGTCAACAAACTGACTGATTCTGAATTGGCTGAAACACAAACAATAAAGAAATTATCTGGTTGTGATGTTGCATTAATTGTAATCACTGATAAACCCACATCATGTGATCCAACTGGAAGCAGCAATAACATGAATAAATATAAAAACCAGAAAGGAAATTCATAATGATTTTGAGTTTCATCCATCTTCCCAATGCATTCAAGAGACCATCATCATCACCATCATCCAGACTGGCTGCCGCTGGTTCTTGTCACAGGCTTTCAGTATGTGTGCAATTGTCAGTTCCTTGGAAAGTGAGGCAGCTTGATAAGCCTTCTTGGACAAAACGTGCATTGATTTATCATTTTCAGTTTGAGGAAAGAGCTGCTTTCATGCTTGTTGATTTGTAATTTCAAGTCTCCACTCACTTTTGAGTGACTCTGAAGCAGCATCCAATCTGAAAACTTCTGTTCCCCATCACTCCACCTCTTTTCACCTTCTCCTCCTTGTCTTGCCCCTCTGCTATCTGTCTCTACTTATCTTTTCACATTTGGCTACAGTCTTTCAGTTTTTCCTTTTTCCCCCTTCTTCCCTTCATCTGTCTTAAATCTGTCCTTTCCCCATTCACTGCTCTTTAATGTCAATCCGTCAGTTCACAGCCAGCTTTACTCCTGTGCTCCCAGCCTTCCTCTCTGCTTTTTCTTTGTCTCTCACTTTCTAATCTTCCCCTTTTACAGTGTCTCCCCCTCTCTCAATCGCTCTTGTCTTATCTTTCACTGTTTCACAGTTGACTAAACACTTTTTCTTCGCCTTCCTCTGTTTTTCTCTTTCAAACTAATCTCTCCTCTTTCATCTCAGCCTTTCACTCTTTTACAGTTGGCTACATTTTTCCTAACCTTCTCTTTTTTCTCTGCCTCCTCCCCTACTCTCTCCATCCTTATCTCTATCTTTCTCTTGTTCACAGTGGAAACTTCTGCTCTCACCAGGGAAACTGCTCTGGAGACAAACAAACAGTAAGCATACAGGTTCCAGGTGGAGAGCGATGGCATCACCTTATCTAACATCACCGCCTAAAAACTGAGAAAGTCAAGGCCACTGCATAACGAGATGTTGTGTGAAATTAAATGATAAAAGTGTCAAATGAATAGCACATCAATTTATACTGATGTATTCAGAAATGAAAAGGTGTGTTAGTATGGCTTCATACCATCGTTCATAAGGTAAACAACCAGTAACATCAGTCATATTACCAATGAATTCATGATTTGCTCCCCCAGATACCATACATGTGTTTATTACTACTAATACTATGGTACATTGTGCATACTAAGATGTTTATTATGGATGGTATTAGGAATTAGGAAGTAGGCTGCCGGATGGTATTAGGAATTAGGAAGTAGGCTGCTGCTGGCTGACTATATAAATCAGAATTTTCCTCTCCTTCCGCTATCTTACGACACTATTTTGCATCCTGGGATTAAAGCCACCCAAGATGACTAGATAAATGAGATTAGTTCAAAGAAAAACAAACAAGCCGAATGTTTTTTCTTCCTATACCAGAATGATAAGGGGCTAGACCAGACCTTTCTGTAGGCTGGCACAGCGCTAAACTAAGTGTGTATGCGACACTACTAATCAGCTGGTAACCAATGTGTCAGTGACTTTGAAGAATGAATAAAGCAGCATCGCCAATCAGCAAGAATGAAAGTGCAACTTTATTGCTTAAGGAGAAATTCAAGTAGCTACAGTTGTTTGAAAAAGACCGGAGAAACAGTGGGCTGCCATTATACTGGACTCAACCTAAACTGATTAAAAACTCTCAGTGAATAGAAAGGGCGGCAGAGGATCTGAATGACTTAAAGCTAGCAGGGCGGCTATTTTTATGCACCTGGTCTGCTGAAGTGTGGGTGTCCACCCCACCCAGCAGTAAAGCTTAACTTAGCTTTAAATTTAACTGACCAGCTGGCAGTCAGACAACTAACGAGAGGCTTTAGTACAAAAGCTTTAACCACCGTTTGTTTCCATTACAGGCAGGGGTAAGGCGCGCATGTGTGTGTTTTGCAATTGGGGGATAAGACAAGAATGCAAACAACAGGTGTTCAGGGAATTAATACACCATACAACACACACAGCTCAGACACATGCATGCACACACACACAGACACACACAAGGCACAGACAGCTCCCGACCACATATCTCCCCCACACCACTGAAATCAGTGAACCTTATAGTCTGGCTACCTGGGCTGGCATACTGGTCGACTTTACACACACACAGACACACAC